ATAGAATGGCGATGCTCTCCCTCCACGGTTTCGAAAGTACTATCGACTCTCGGAAGCCGATTTTGAGGAAGTGGCCAAAGTCGCCGCGTCCGAAGGATCCACAAAGAGGTGCGTCCAACTTACCTCCTTGTACACGATTCTTATTTACCCTTTCGACTTTTTCTATCTAGCGTTGGTATAAATGCACTCTCTCACCCTCTTGTAATCGCCTCGACCCCTTCACCTCCCTCTCCGCCTACGAAGACCACTACACCTCCACACACATGAACGTCTGCACTGAATGCAAACGAGTCCTCCCCACATCCCCTCCTTCATCTCCATCTCCTTGAAGTCCATGACGCCTTTTTTATGGCCTTATCCAACAAAGAGAATTCCGTAAGAAATCCCCCCAATATTTCTCTAACCCCTTTTAAAGTATGAATGCTTTGTCGAGGAGTGCACGAAAAAGTTCTCTGGGCCGTTTAAACGTAGACTCCATCTTATTGAGAAACACAGATTTCCGAAAAAGTTTGAGTTTGAGGAAGTGGTATTGGGAGAGACGCCAGGTTATCTTCGGCACAAGGAAACAGCTTTAATTGGAATTGAGGGTGGGCAGCGGAACGGTTCGCGTAAGAATCGTAAATAAAGGGAAGGGGAAGCTGAAGGCTGCGGAAACCGTCAATGGAATGGAAGTTTTCGAAGACGCCGCTTCAGCACAATCGCAGGACACGCCCGCTCAACCACATACTCCTCCATCTATATCCCATTCAACGTCTTTGAGCCAGAGCTTGGAAGGTGCGGTGGCAAGACGTACGAAGCTTCAAATTTCGAAAAAAATGGAGGAGACGCAGGCAAGCGTCGAGGAGGTTAAAGCACCTTTCGTGGAGTTAACTCCTCAAGGAGCCTTATCATACACTGCAGTTAGAGCAATCAGGAACTAATGCGTCTACATCGTCCCAACTCAATCCCTCTCTCAAATTACCTCCTCGGAATCCATCGATGTGAACATGGATGGCTTAGTAAGAAAGCCCAATAGGAGGACAGGAGGTTAGCGAAGCGGGAGGCGCTAGGAGTCATAGGAGTCATACGTCAAACGGACATAGAACTGAAAGAGCCGGAAAACCATAATACTGTTTCCGACATGAAAACGGCACCTGTTGACGTAACCTCCACGTCAACTTTTACCGCACCAACTCAACTTCCCACTACTCCTCCCATCAACCCCTACATTTCAAGCACGCCTGAAGGAAAGAAGAAAAACAAGAGAAAAAAGAAAAACTTGACTATAACCAATGCGGCAGTTGCATCACCCACCACGTCTACACCATCCACACTCGACGCCATGGACACATCCATCGACGACCTCACCGCCTCCATGTCAAGCTTAAACGTTGCACCCCCTCAAATCCGGTTCGGGCGTACCCGACCGACGTTCTATAAACCCCCATCGGGCACTGCGAAACCTGCGACGCATCCTGGACCGCCGATGGGGATTTGGTCTTTGGAGTATACGCGGAAAGTGCATAGAGATAGGGTGCCGCAACGCGCGAGGGAGGCAGAGGTGGAGTATGTGAGGGGGTTGAAGGAGCGTCAGAAGGCGAGGAAGGGGAAGAAGGTGGGGGGATGGGTGGGGAAGTGGTTGGGATGGTGGAGAAGGGGGAGGTGGTGGTGGAAGCGGAAATGGAGTTGGATTTATGATGCGAAAGTCAAAGTGGTCCCGAAGAAATTTGACAAAATAATATGAGAAGAGTCAAGGAAGAATGTTGTCTTTTGTTTTTTATGAGATGTCCAACAAAAAAACAAAAACAAGAAACAAAAAACGGAGAACCGACGAATGAATGATAAAGTCCAATTTGAACGTAAAGTCCATTGAAAAGTTTGATGAGCAAGTGAAATTTTCTATTGCGATAGATAGCAAACAAATGGTTGTAATAACGTATCGTGTCATCCCAAACAAGGAGGACAAGTATGGGTTTACGCGAAATAAAAAAAGGAAAAGTAGTAAAAGCCAAACTTGAAACTGAGTAGTATAGAGCAATGACATACACGAAACAGACAAAGAAGCATGCACGCAACACTGGAGATATCTTAAGTCTCCCAAAAAAATATTCAAAATAAGAACTGAACGAAATCCGAGAAACACGACATTGACGATTCTTGTCGCAACAGCAGTGACACCAAACGAAAAGTAACAAAGGGAAAATAAAAGGGCAATGTGCAAGAAGCGCGAAAAATAACATACTGCTTTGAAACAATTTCGTTAGGTCCCGTCTCACAAATCCTCCTCATCCTCCTCCATCGCATCTCCATCTTCTTCATCTTCCCAATCGTCCTCATCTGCTGCTTCATCTTCCTCCTCATCGTCATCCTCCAGGTCAGGAAGAGCCCTCCCCTTCCCTTTCTTTGTCTCCACAAGGTTCGCACCTAGCTTGTCAACCCTTTCCAACGCCTTCTTCAAAATCCTGCGTTCTTGGACACGTAGAATTAGCGCGAGTCGTTCAGGGCTATCCGTTTCAGGCTGTGTATAAAATAAACAGTTATCAGATGTAGAAAGAAGGGGATAACAAAAAAGACTGAGAAACGCACCATCTCCTTCAAAGTCTGCTCGTCTTCCTCCAAGGATCCACCCCCATATCCTACCTCCCGCTTTTTCACCGTTTCCCCAATAACCATTCCAACAATCTTCTGCACCAAACTCCCCGACGTCTTTACAACCACACCCTCAGTAGACCCATCGTCATCTCCATCCACAAAGCGTCGTTGAACGACCCACCCTGACCCTTCATCGTTTCCACCGACAATGAGTCGTTCAATGAGTTGCCGGACGTAAAGCAGAAGAGCGCTGGAGGAAGTTGAAATGGCTTTGAAGCCGCGAGCTGAGATGACAATGAGGTGGATAAGGACGCGAAGAGAGGCGGTGGGGAGACCGTTGGGAAGTAGGGAGAGGTGGAGATCATCGTCGTCTTCGTCATCGTCTTCATCGCTATCGCCTCCTTCTTCTTCGTCGTCCTCATCCATACCGTCTTCATCTTCTTCTTCTTCGTCGTCGTCGTCCCCGACATTGAAGGCGACCTTTCGCTTTTTTCTGTTAGATGCTTTGTCTTCTTCATCCGATTCATCCTCGTCAAGCTCTTCATCCTCATCGTCCTCATCCTCATCCTCTTCAACCTCATCATCATCCACAATAAAATCCTTCATCTCATCGTCATCATCTTCCTCATCATCCATCCCCATCCCCACTTCCAAAACAACATCTCTCTCAACCCTTCTCACAGCCTCACGTCCCTTTACAATCCCAAAAAACCGAGTCGTTCCCTAACAAGGTCATCACCCACCCACCCCTTCACAACCTCTACAACACGCTCGCGTCCAATCACAACCCCATCGTTAGGGTTATCCACGATAAGACCGTCGACCGTCGCATCGCTGAAACCGCGGTATGTGAGCATCGTGGTGTCAAGGTCGTCAGCGAAGGTGATCAGGAGGGGAGTGGAGCGCGGGATAGGTTCGGTGGTGGTGAGGGTAAGAAAGGTGGCGGAGGAGGGAGACGGGGCGTCTTCGTCTTCTGCGTCATCGTCAATAAGGTCAGAGGTGTGGAGATATGAGGATTCTTCGTCGTCGTCATCATCAACGATGCCGTCAAGAAAAACGTTGGAGGCGGAGGAACTGTGCTTTAATCTATTTTTTGCAAGGATGTCAATCGCCAGAAAAATCAAATAATATATATGAGCAAGGTTTGAATACAACAGCATAGGATAAGGTAAAAAGGAAAGAAGGAAGAGAAAAAGACGTAGATCAAATGTGAACAAATTGAAAAATAAATATAAAACGAGTTCGCTTACAGATCTACGAATGGAACCAACGCGAACCCATGTACAGCATCCACCTCAATCCTCTTTGAAATCACAACACTCATCGCATCATAAAACACCTTCTCAACTCCATCCTGTCCTTTGCCCTTCATCCCAAACGCATCCAAATTATGCCAAATGAACGGAAACACTGCTTCTTCAAACTCTTTTTTTCAGTTCATTCTAAATAAAAAATCGTTAAGCATGCGCATAAAGGCTCCAGAAAGATCACCTTCATATCGTCCAACATTAAAGCGAGATCCGTTCCTTTAAGAAGCGCCTTTTCCTCGTCTGACCAGAAAATGGGGATGTGAACACGGGTGGGGAGGTGTTGAATATATGCTGCCCATGGAGATGAAGCTCCACGGCTTTTCTCGTGAAGAAGGGCGAGAGCGAGTCCAGCACAATCAATATTGTCCAAGACCTTCTTCCTCTGAAAGAGTGTAAGAAGACTAAGATTAAGTGGTCAAGAGAGGAAATTACCGAGTTTTCCTGCAATGCCGCAGTTGTGCACAGACAGGATAGAGGTTGATGGGATTTTTGCGATGACGGATTCAGAGGGGATGTCGGTCTTGCTCATGACCACAAATCCAAGGTCTTTCTTCTCCACGGACACCAAGTCTTTTGAAACTTCTATCCCAGATGTTGCATACCAGTTCAGGAGAGATGAAAGAGACGGTTTGACGTGAGCTGCAGTGGATGATGCCGCTTTAGGAGCCGCGGATCCATTCTTTTGGTTGTTCTTTTTGCGAGACATTTTTTTTTTTTTTTTCTTTAAACAAAATGTTCGATCAAATCGGACACAACACGCTTTTTTTTTCTTGTTTTGCAGTCAGAAGAAGGGCCGTCATCCACCAGTTACGGTGGTCGGGTGGAGGGCCGCGGGAGCATTGAGGACACTTTGCATCAATTTGAACTGCCTAGTGATCAAGTTCTGCGTTCTTGGTCAGTCAGTTAAAGTGCATCTATTTTTGCGATAGATTTCATACTGTACAAAGGTGGTTGAAGGAAAAAAGAAATGCGTAGCAACGCACAATGGAAAGGAGAAATGCCGCGAGCTGGGTTTTTACTTGGAAAAAGAACGAAAAAAGAAAACAGCGATGCCTCCGCCCGGAGTTGAACCGGGGATCTTCACAATTTGATCCAATCACAATGCTAAATGCAAAAAAGTGCCCTCACCCAGAGTTGAACTGGGGACCTTTGCATTGCGTAATCTACTTGCAGTACGTCGTACAAGTGCAATACTCTAACCACTAAGCTATAAGGGCTAAATAAACAATAAGTCCTCCCAGGTCACGTGATGAAACCTACGTGGTAGGTAGGCGCAACGGCAAAAACCCCGGCATGACGCCTTAACCACTTAGCTACAAAGGCACGGGATTTTTTCGTGCCGGAATTGTAGCAACAGAAATACATTCGCATGAGGGTAGGTAACATTGTTCAAAAGTACGATAGTGCACTTACCGCCACGGCCTTAGATTCCCGTTATGCCGGTGCATCGTAGATGTATCGATATTCACAGCCTCCCGCGAAAGGCTTACCTCGTAAAAAAAAGTCGTTAAGATACTGGTGTCTCTCCATCATTTCCATTTTGCGAAATGGTCCTCTCTACTGTGAAGCGTTGCCGCAATGACCTCTCCTCCTTATCGACTTCTCTTCTCATCCAGCCTTCCCCATATAACCCCCATAGAAATCATCTATCGCATCGTCCGATCCACAACCTCGGTCTCTGCGAATGCGGAACATGCAATTTCCTCACCTCTATCCACGAATGCCCCAAATCTAAAACCCACTGGAGCCTCTGTCGCTCCACGGGATGGACCGCATGTGGAAACCGTATATGCGGGAACTACGGGATAGACTAGATCCAATGTGATGGTTGGCGAGATGTCTATTGCTCAGAGATTAGTGTCAATGAGTGAAAAAGATGGGTTGTATTGCAGTTAGTGTATGCATATGGATGAATATGGGTGTTATTGTCGCGCTTGATCGTCGAGGAAGTGTGTGGATTGTGTATCGTTTTGCTCGCAAAGATCTGTATGAAGGGTGATGTTGAGGAGTGGAGCCCTTCCCAGAATGTAATGATATGCCGAGACGAGGATGGGGAAGTGAAGTCATGACGGTGCGTAAGAAGATGAGAAGCTGCAACATGTAACTGGAAACCGCTGGAAGGACCATCCATGTTTCCATGCGACGCCAATATCCAATCAGGCGTTCGATCATGCCCCAACAACACATTCCGGTATACATTGCGTAACTCAACTCCCAGCCATCAAAGCGTAACAAACCGCGTGTTCAATCCACTCAACCTTTAGACTCGTAAGTCAATGTGCAGCGAATGCATTGTACTTGCTGGACAGACTACAACGAAAGCAGAGAAAAATCCATGTACATGTACCAACACGAAAGCAATTCATTCAGCAACAACACTCTACAGCCATATACATGCACAAACACAACAGCCACAACCCCACAACACCCCATCTACTCAACCTCCACCCATCACATCACTCCAATCCCACTTCCAACCCATCACCCATCACTCATCACCTCCCCCCATTCCTCGGGTTATCACTTGGCCTCGTGTAAGTCGCCTCTCCACCCGCACTCTTGTAGTAGGTCGACCCATTAGAGTTTTGATAATAGTAAGACCCATTCGAATTCGAATAATGATACGAGCCTCCACTTGCAGAACCTTCGCCGCGCGCACAGAAATGGTTGCCTTGAGAGTTGGTGCCGGAGGGGTAGGAGGAGCAGCCCTTGCCAGTGTTGGAGCTTTGGGACGACATGGTTGAAGAATTCTGCGGGGGAAAGGAGGTTTTCGGGCTGTTTTATAGGCTTTTTTTTTTTTGGGGTGGGGAAGCAAGGTTTTTCGTTTCTCCAGATGTACCCCCCCCCTGGTCAACTTGCAAAATGACGTGTTGATGTGACGCGACCGAATTGGGACGTGTCCCCTCCCCGCTACACGATGCGACAGGCGACTATTCTGCGTTTTTATATATCTGCTGGACGTTAATCAATGACACAAACCCTCCGTAATCCTGTAAGAAAGGAGGAAATAATATGTGAAATCATGGGCGTATATTATACCGAGTATCGTGAAACCAACATAGATGCCTCAAATGGAAAAGAGGTTAATGAAAAATGTTACAAAAAACAAAAAGGTTCAGAATAAGAACCATGAAACCGAGAAAAGCCAAAAAGCGAACATAAAAAAGCCGACTAGAAACGCAAATGAGGAAAATTATCAGATTATTTAGGCTTAAAAAACCAGCCTAACGTCTCCATTAGAACTACGAAAAAAGAGAAAGAAATGAAGAGCTCTTCCTCAAGTCCTTTTCACAATAAACGCCAAAGGTCCTTTGCCATGTTTTCGATAAATTCGACTTCATCTTCAACTTCAAATTCTTCCTCGTTCTCAAGACGTGATAGGTATTTGGAACGTTCAATCAATGTTTTTGGATGTGCCCGGGTACGTCAGGGGTGAGACGGTCGATAAGGTACTAAAAAATATTACGTTACCCACAATGCATGAAACGAGGATGGAAGCAAAAGTTGGTACACGATAAAAGCAGAACAAGAAAAATGATTATAAAGGACGAAGAGAGGACATTAAGTAGACTCACCACCACCAAAAAGACCAAATGCTCAAAAATCAACACAAACGCTAACCTCGCCCCTAACCGATATTCGCTGGCACCCAACCAATATAGCTCTTCCCAAAATACTGACTCGAAAACGCCACCACACAAGCATTCACAAGTATCCCAACCCTACTCATCGCTAGAGCCACGTTAAACCACGCCCCAACACCTTTCACCCGCAATGGGAACGGTCGTTGACTCTGCGCGAGCAACCGGTAAGCGCCGAACCGGATCTCCAGAGAATTATTGATGAGCGCAAACAATGGCGCGAGAGGGAACGCGGCGGAGAAGAGCGAGACGAAACCGAGTTGAACGATCTTAGAGTTGAATTCGGTGAATCCGACCAGTTGTCGAGGAGGTCGTCGTCGAGATGTTGGGGGAGGTCTGAGAGGGAACCCGTGTTTTGAAATGTTTTGTGGTTTTTTTGGTGGTACGACGACGGATGGGTGTTGTGGGTTCAACCGTCACTGTCGATGGTTCACTCTTCTCCTCAATCTTTTTAGGACCAGCGACTTCCACCATTTTAATACGGACGGCTTCCTGGTGCTTCCGTGCGAAAATCCCTGTGATCATGGGGACGAGGACGAGTTGGAATTGCGTGACGAATTGGAGACCGACAAAGATGATGGCCATGGAGAACATGAGTTCGGACATGCATGATTTGGATGGGTCGTCGAGGCTGCAGTGGCGGATGTTGGGGACTGAGTCGGGGATCAGGACTTTGATGGTGCCGGTGAAGAGCAGCGCGGAGAAGTTGTTGATGAAGACAAAGATGAACTTTTTGGAGATGAGGGCATCTATGAGAGGGGTTAGTTCATTGTCTGAGTCCAGGTGGATAAAGGGGGAAAGAAATTACCTTCGAAGCGTTGGAAGGTCTTGTGATTCTCCCATTGCGTAAGGACGTACGCAAGCTTTAAGTATAGCTATGAAGAAAGAGAAATTTAGGCAGGCGTTAATGAAAAGAAGATTACATAGTTTACTTACAGGAGTCACCAACACAATATTAGTCAGCGTCAGAAGCGACGACAATCCGATTCCCAGGAACCGATCGATATTCAGCGCGCTAACACCGATCACAAGAGCCTCAAAAAAGAGCATAAGTGCAATCTACCCGGAAATAAATAAATAAGAACTCATTAATAACCTTAAATTAAATACACTAAAGTCATGAACCCTTTTGTCAACATACCGCTCCCATTAAAATCACAGTCGTCACCAACTTGACCAAAATCTGCGTCGAAGTCGGGAAATGCGGTTCAATCTTCTCCGTCACCGGACTCTTTCTCAAAATCACTCCAAACCATTCAGGTCGTCTCGTCTCCACATTCACCAAATCCCACATCCCCAAACCGTCCTCAACGTGACTTCCTGGCGTTTCCAGAATTCAAGCATCGCAGTCACCCACACCGCCATGAAAAAGGCAAACGGAACGGTCAGAGCGTTGTCAAAGGCTGCGTAAAGGTTGTCGGGGTTTGGGAGATGCCAAAGATGAAGACGCCGATACCGAGGATAGCGGGGAACCATAACCATAGCGTGTAGAATCCGAGGAAGGAGAAGTAGTATGCGACTTTTTCGCCAAAGTAGTCACGGATCTCGCGGAAGGGTTGGACGCCCATCATTTGGGTGAGGGAGAAACGGACGGTTGCCCAATTTGTGTAGAGGTAGGAACGGGGGTTTGAGGGGAGAGGGACGGTGTCGTCCAGAGGTTCGTATTCGTAGGGACCGTCGTGGATGGGGTAGAAGTCGACGTAGGCTTGGGAGAGGATGAGGTCGTTGATGCCGTAGATGCCGTGGCCGTTTGAACCGCGAATGCGGGTGCGTTGTGCGATTTCATGGACCTAGTAAAGAGAGGTTAGATTGGTAGCCAAATATCTCAATAAGCGAAAAATAAAAGACGGTGGGGAAAGAAAGAAGGGGAGAGAGATGCTCACCAACAGATTTCTCTGAACATTTTTAAAGAAGTATAACTTGACCTTGACAGGCGAATTTCCAGCCTCCTGAGAATCTCCTCCTTTAAAAATATGCAACAACTCGACTCTAAATAAATCCAAATCCGCCGCCACTGAATGCGGGACCTGACTAAACGCATACCGCACAGCTCCAAGGATAGTCCCATCAGGACCCTCAACGAATGGTTTGGTGGACAGCGGCTTATACTTGACGGCTTCGGTAGAGGCATCAGGAGGGAATGCGGTGGTGGGAGTGGAAGATGTTTTGGTTTTTGTTTTGGCGAGAATGCGACGTTGGAGACGGGACAGATGATGGGAGGATTGGAGGGCTTTTTGTTCGAGCTTTTTGTGGACCTTTTCACGAATTTGGAGCTCACGGGACTAAAAAAAGGAAAAAAAAATTACAAAACCAGAAGAGAATAGGGAAGAGAAACCAAGATATAGTTTGTGAACAAGAATAAAAAGAAAAAAATGCTCACCGAAACCTCCATCATCAACTTAATCCTCTGAGCCTCCGAGCACAATACCTCAAACGGCGCCAAAATCTTTATAAAATGCGCACCCGAATCCTCCTTCCCCTTTTCAACCGCCTCCGAATCCAACCCCCGCTCTCTCACAAGGATGAGATGGTTTCTCAACAATTCCAATTCATAATGAACACGCTGACGCATGCGC